ACGGTGTGATTGTAACAAACAAGGCTACATTAGTGACCTAAGGTTTCAATCAAGAAGAAGGAATCGATTATGAAGAGACTTTCGAACCGGTTGCTAGATTAGAATTCATTAGGATGTTACTTGCTTTTGCATGCTATAAAGGCTTTACTCTTTATCAAATGGATATCAAAAGTACATTCCTAAATGGTTACATTTTAGATGAAGTATATGTATAACAACCACCAGGTTTTTAAGATCATAAGTATCCAGATTATGTTTTCAAATTGAGAAATGCTTTATACAGTTTAAAGCAAGTTCTTAAAGCAGTTTAAGATCATAAGTATCCTAATGGATTCTAAGACTTAGTGCGTTTGGTTGGTAGATTCGTGTCATGGTTTGGATTATGGTTCGTAGCTCGCTATAGTATTTTCTCTCACAATAAACACACGTAAATCTAGAATGATTCTGAATCCATCAACCAAACGTCCAGTTAGTAAATTTTTGCTTCAAAATAGCTTTTCAATGAGAAAAGCGAATATTACTCTTTTTACAATGATATGATTATTGTTCAAATTTATGTTGATGATATCATTTTTAGTTCTACTAATGTCTATCTGTGTGAAGAATTTTCTAAGTGTATGCACAATGACTTTTAGATGAGTATGATAGGAGAACTTAACTTCTTTCTTGGCGTTCAAATCAAACAAATAAAAGAAGGCATTTTCATCAATCAAGCCAAGTATGTAAGGGTTCTATTCAAAAAGTTTGATATGGATGATCTATAGCCCAAGATTGCTCCAATGAGCTCTTCAATCAAGCTGAATAACGATGAAAGTAGCAAAGCGGTAGACATCACTAAATATCGATGTATGATCGGTTATTCACTTTACTTAATTGCAAGTAGGCCGGATATTATGTATAGTGTAGGTCTTTGTGCACACCTTAACACGGTGAAAATGATTTTTACATATCTTAGCGGCACTAAGAACCTAAGATTATTGTATTCTAAAAGCACACACATTGATTCATTTAGCTATTCGGAAGCCGATTGAGCCGGTTGCACTAAATTAGAACTATGATATAATTACTTTTCTCTTTATCAAGATAGAATATCATAAATAAAAAGTTTTGCACACACATCAAATACAGCAAAGCATCTCATACAAATCCCAAGTTATATATAAGATTATACACGTGTGGAGTATAATGGGTTATTTGGTATATATACTCAAAACTCAAATTATTATTTTGTTACAGTATTTTCCTCTCACAAAGAATTTGAATTAAAAAGTTTTCTGCTAATAATTTTCTCACAAAAAATTTGAATCAAAACTCAAATCATAATTCAAATACACTTTCTAAACGGCTCTCAATATACCGTTACTCAATTGCTCGGCGCCTCTATGATCCTGCAATCTGAAAAAGCATCAAGCTCTGCATGTTATTGGTAATGTAAATACTAATCACTAACTCTTTGCTGCGAACAACACTTTTGGTCAATCACAACTTAGCTACACCAACTGCCAGAGAAAGTCAACCACTTTTGATCAATCGCTACAAGATACATTGACAGTTAGAGAAACTGATGTGGTGCAGAAAGATCTAGTTTTTATGGTGCATTGGGAATATCTTAAAGACAAATAAGGTAAATTTTTTAGTTTTCAAGGGATCTTTTGACGCTATCAGATTTTGACGAAAAATATGTATTTTCTAAGTGAAAACAGCCCAATGGACAAGACTCATGTGAAGTTAGCTTCGCCACAATGTGTGATGTTTTTCGGACAAATTTTATCGTTTAGGCCCCCAAAAGGGCTTTTTTTTTTTTTTTTTTTTTTTTCTTCTTTCCATTTTTAGTAATTTTTGTTTTCGTAATAAGTTGACTTAAGAAATTCAGATTCTAATTCTAATTGCGTTTCCTTTTTCTTTGTGTTTAATAGTTTCAATTTAATTTTCAATTCAAAATTTTCCTTTATTTTATTATTATTATTTTTAAGAATCGGCTTGTTTCCCATTTATATTTTGCCTATATATTTAGATGTCCTCTTGTGATGAAATCAATTCAATTGAATAAAAATTTCAAAATTTCTCTCAATTTTCTTTTTTTCAAATTCTGGTATTTTGTGTGAATCAACAATTTTTGAAGCTATTTTTTTTTAATATTATGTGTGAATCAACAGATTAATTAATTTATCTTTTATTCCGTTGTTACGATCTTTGAAGCTTCCGCTACATCAGAAACATGGCCACTATTATGTAAATAACGCTTTAATAGCAAATACATTGTAAATATTGAAAAGGAAGTAACTTTCGTTGTTTGTTATTAAATAGTACAGCTAAGTCTATCAAGTAGAGCTATTGTTTGTCTTACTGCTACAATTCTATGTTTATTTATTTATTTTTAATTGCTGAGACAGACTCATGCACTGATCCAACCATGCACAAAGAAAACATATGAGACTTTGTTTATATTATGATTTGAGTTTTATTATAATAAAAAATTTTAAAAAATAATCACATTTAATTTTTTTATTATAATAAAAAATTTTTACATAAAATTATATTTTAATTCAAATTAAAAATTTAAATTAATAAATTAAACGGACCATGAATAATTAATAAAGTGGTTGCCAACGAATTATAAAGGTATAATAATAAACCAACTAATAATTGATCATGACGTTGAACAATGAAGTCATCATTTTGTTTGCTTTAGAGGCGGCTGGCTTTTCAAGTGTTAATTGATCTTATTCATTTCATCAATTTGAGTTTAAAATTTAAGTTTTATTACAATAAATTTTTTTAAAAAATAATCACATTTAATTTTTTTATTATAATAAAAAATTCTCACATAAAATTATATCTCAACTTAAATTAAAAATTTAAATTAACAAACTCAAATTAGCGAATCACATCGAACTTCTTCTGAATTTATATATTAGAAAGTCTTTTTTTTTAATTTCCGAATTCTTTCTTTCTTTCTTTCTTTCTTTTTTCTTTTTTCTTTTGGTTTAGTGTAATTGATACATTAATTAAGCACACAGCAAACGTGTACAAAAGAATATTAATCTCATAAACCAAACAAGGTACTGACATTTAGACCCTTCCAAATTAAAAGCATATACAAGAGAAAAATGCACATGAATCGTACGAGGCCAAAAAGAAAACGACAACAAAGCTGATTTATCATGAAAATTTCAAGTGGGCGACAACTCCGCACTTTTGACTTGTCAACTTGCAATCAGTGTGTACATTTGTTATAGTTCAAGAGATAAATTATTATTTCTCACCCAAAAAAAAAAAAAAATTATTAGCAAGAATGGCAAATTGACAATAATACATGGGTTAACGATTTCCAGCTGTGAGTTTCACCTGCTCCCACTTTATGATTTGCGGAATCTCTAGTTTACTTTGTAGGATAAAGCATGAAACAAAAGTCATTTTCCCACAACAACTGATTGAAAATGATGTAGACTATTACACTAATATTTGTTTATTTTAGGGCGATAAATATGTGTCTTGAGGGGCAAGTTATCATCAATAAACAAAGAACAATGCCATATTGGAGACTAACGGTACTGGTCAGCATCACCTATTAATAGAATATGAATCCTGCAACGTGAAACTCACGTTTTATTAGTAGTGGTGCTTAACACCGATCGATGATACTCCTAAGCATTTTTTATAAACAAAAGACAATAAAAAAGCAATATATATATTTAATTCGTGATGTAATTATTAGTGAAGAGATACGTGATATATGTCTTAATATATTACACCTATATCAATGTTAGAAGTCCTCAACATAATTTGACCTAACCCTCATTGATCTCTATTCTTCTAATTAGGGTATATCTTTTGATTTTCGATCCAAGTTTTAGAATAGAGTATTTAGCATATAAAGAGAAAATAATATAGGAAAGGACATTTCTATATTACCAAATATTAGGATATAATTTTGATCCTTTGATTACCTTAAGATCATATCAAATGAATTTGATGAAAATCACACGTTCAAAATTGATCCTTATGTGTAAGGTTTTTTTTTTTTTTTTTTTTTTTTTTTTTTTTTTTCCCGTTTTTTTTTTTATAGAAAAGTAATGTATGAAAGAAACCAAGAGTTAATTACATATATGTCCAAATATTATAGTAAATGTAGCAAAGAACTTGACATATTTACACATAAGTCTGTAAACTAACTTATAATGACATTTCCATCCCACTCATAAAGTTAGTTATACAAATTTATAACCAGCCACACAAAAAAGAATATACTTGGAATGATATTATCTCAATAACCATAAGGTGGACCAATGGATAAGATTGTTTAATTAAGGAAATATTCGAAACATTGAGTTTAGAAAATGATTATTTCGTGTAGTTACTTCAAAAACCAAAACAAGGGACGACTTAGAAGGGCCCACAATCCACTAACTTCACTATTATTCAGTTGTATGCCTGTCTTCCAATATAACCCTCCTTTCAGAAAGTATGATATATTTTACATGGACTGTTTGGTATTATATATATATATATATATGTATATCTTTCTTCAAGTCTCTGCAAATTAATCTTTGTGGATTTTGTTTCTTTCCATTATAAGGAACGACAGGAAGGATAGATCATCAGGAATAGATCGCACTAGAGGGAAAAAGCTATGACCACTAATAATATCCTCGCAATGGCCAAAAAGAAAACAATAAAACAAAACAAAACAAAACAATGATAAAGAAGAAGAAATGTAGATATGCACATATCATGGTCAAAACATATAAGGATTGATCTATCCGACAAAGAGAACAATTTGAGAGGTATATATGATGAAATGCCAAAGTTAAAATGCAGCAAATTAAGGCCTCTTTCAGTTCGCGGATTCGAGTTGAGATGTGATTTTATGTGAGAGCTTTTCACTGTAGCAGAAAAAGTTAGATGCGACTTTTTGTGAGAGCTTTTAACTGAAGCAAAACTGAAATTGAAAACTTGAATTGGTGAAATGAACGAGGGCTAAATCATATATAAGAAACTTCTGAAAAACAGAGATGTCTTCCTTTATTACTAACAATCTCGGAGCCTAAAAGGCATACAGGAAGCTTTGACAAACATATATATGATCGTGATCTCCACAAATAAATAGAAGTCCAAAACGGTACCGTACAGTTACATGGCCACATGACTAGTTCTATACAATAATAAAATTATGTGAATACTCTATATATTAAAAAAAAAAGTAATTTTTGGAAATCAGACGGCCAAAGTGACGCATGAACCAAGCAACGTTCATATACCCTAGCTTAATCTCCAATCCCCACATTTTTCTTAATTTTTATTACTCCAACTTATAGAAAACAACAAAAGTAATTGCAATATTGCTGTCACCACAGAAGTTGAAATATGTAGGTCATTTCTCAGGGATGGTATTGCCAGATCCTTATTGAATGAACTTGGATTGTAAGCTTGGTGTGCCCTAATGGAGACTTCTTTTATTCCACTTTTCAAACTAAAACCTGCAATTTGTAATAGCCAACAAAAAAAACAATTAACTGCGTGTAATATATTAATTATCATGATTGTCCAAATTAACCAAAAATATTTAGATTACACTAGTAATAAATCAGTTAAGTTTCACTTACATGAGCGGTATTGGTATTGGACTGGAAGTTTTGGCCCTAATAGTGTGTCGGAGGTGGTGGGGAAGCGTAACTGTAAACGGGAGGTGGCGGTGATTTCACCGGTGGAGGGGGCGATATGTAGTAATACGGGGGCGGTGGAGATGGTGAAGGAGGAGGTGGGGAAGTGTAGTGGTATGGTGGGGGAGTAGAGGGTGAGGGAGGGGGTGGAGACTCGTAGTGGTAGGGAGGCTTTTCTACATGTTTTGGTGGTGGTGGGGATGTGTAGTGGTACGGTGGAGGAGGGGAAGGTGATGGCGGTGGAGGAGACTTGTAGTAATATGGTGGTGGAGGAGATGGGGATGGTGGTGGTGGGGATTTATAATAGTAAGGGTGGTGAGGTGGGGATGGAGAGGGTGGTGGTGGTGGGGATGGAGAGGGTGGTGGTGGTGATTTATAGTAGTAAGGGTGGTGAGGTGGGGATGGAGATGGCGGGGGCGGGGACTTGTAGTAGGAAGGGTGTTGAGGTGGAGATGGCGACGGTGGTGGTGGGGATTTATAGTAGTAAGGGTGGTGAGGTGGGGATGGAGAGGGCGGTGGTGGAGACTTGTAGTAGTATGGTGGTGGAGGAGAGGGTGATGGTGGGGGTGGGGATTTATAGTAGTAAGGGTGGTGAGGTGGGGAAGGAGAGGGCGGCGGTGGAGACATGTAGTAGTAAGGGTGGTGAGGTGGAGATGGCGACGGTGGTGGTGGGGACTTGTAGTAGTATGGTGGTGGAGGAGATGGTGATGGTGGTGGTGGAGATTTATAGTAGTAAGGGTGGTGAGGTGGGGATGGAGAAGGTGGGGGTGGAGAGTTGTAGTAGTAGGGAGGCTTTTCTACATGTTTTGGTGGTGGTGGGGATGTATAGTTGTACGGTGGAGGAGGGGAAGGTGATGGTGGTGGTGGTGATTTATAATAGTAAGGGTGGTGAGGTGGGGATGGAGAGGGTGGTGGTGGGGACTTGTAGTAGTAAGGGTGTTGAGGTGGAGATGGCGACGGTGGTGGTGGGGATTTATAGTAGTAAGGGTGGTGAGGTGGGGATGGAGATGGCGGCGGCGGGGACTTGTAGTAGTAAGGGTGTTGAGGTGGAGATGGCGACGGTGGTGGTGGGGATTTATAGTAGTAAGGGTGGTGAGGTGGGGATGGAGATGGCGG